TTTATACTACAAACTCCCTTATGAAGGCAATTCTATGAAAGTTAGCCTCCATTTAATCCACATTTAAATTGTATTTCCTTATCATTAAAGGCTCAATGAAGTGTTACTGTATTTCCACATCTGATACAAAATTCTGCACAGATATATATATTCTACATATCTGACAGTTAAACTATAATGATTGAAACAGCCCAATAATAGAGGTACCTTCAAAAAAAACTGACATAACTATGGCCATAGAGAAAATAACTAAAACAAAGGGAGACACAAATATACTATTAAAATTTCTGAAAGCACAAAAACAGAATGATAAAGAAATGGCACTTTGTGATTTTATGGTGCCATAGTCCTCTTTATGAGCCAATTCTTAAGTACATAATGATTGTAAAAACTGTAAGTTATTATAGAACAGTATAAAACTTGGGAGGAAATGATCAGAACACATTTATGAAATACGTGGACCATTTCAGCCACGTCTAAGAAGGCAAATGAAGCTATACGGTCCCTCTCTCACTTTTGATTAAAGATGAAAGCAACTTCTCTTTATAATAATCAGCCTTACTTGAAAATATTTTATATCCAAGAGTTTCATCATAATTTTCAGTCTTCCTTTAAAATATCAGTCACCGTTTTTATTCAGTCAACACTGAGGGACTAACATTTGAGGACCTACTAGGTGTGGGATCCTACAGAAGTGCTTAAGGTTGTGCTACTTGAAATTTTACGAGGACTTCTGAGAGGCTGCAAAGATCACCCTTTACTTTTACCATGTCTCCATCTCACAGCCTTTAGAAATATAAAAAATTCCATTACTCTGGGAGGATAAGAAAAAAAGAAAAGAGGGTAGGTTTAAATTTAATCATGCCAATCTTCCTTATCCAACTTGCTAACATAATTTGTAATCAGTGTGAAGCAGAAACAACTAAACAGCATAAGAAGATGCCTCTGATTTAAAAATTCCAACCTGGGGCTTTTATCATCTTAAGTGATAATATGATAATGTTCACGCAAGGGAGGCCTTCTGCATTTAATTAAGCAAATGAGAGAGAGAGGATTGTTTAAACTAACTAGAAGTTTAAATAATCACTAATAGGGGCTGGGCCTGGTGGCTCAAGTTTGTAATCCTAGTGCTTTAGGAGATAGAGGCCAGAGAATCACTTGAAGCTAGGCATTTAAGACCAGCCTACCATTCCAGCCACTGAGGAGGTTGAGCCCAGAAGTTCAAGACTATAGTAAGCTAATGGGAAGATAACCTTTTAAAAATATTTCTGAGCTGACAAATTAAAACAGAAAAACTCTTTTATTAAGATCAAGGCGATAATTTAAGAAGAGGCTACTTCAATTTTTCTTCAGTTACTGGTTTCATATATACATTCTTCATTTGACTTTCATGGGAGATACACAATACTCTAAAACCCTCACTCGTTTATCAAGAAATCAACTTGAATGACAATTAGGGTCAGTGTGTCAGATCGTTTAAATTCAAAATATTTTAGTGACTATAAAGATGATCTCAGAGTTATCCAGACATGAAATTACTGAGTTAGAAGTAGATGTATATAGTGCTTTATAATAAGAAGGATTAAAAGACTATTTAACTTCATCTTGATTTATAGAACATCATGATTTCTTCAGCTTTTTAAACTATGGCTTTTATTGCAAAAAGTTTACAGTTTACATTTAAAGAAGATAGGGACCAATCTAAAATCAGAGGAGTTCTAAAAGCCACCACCAGATCTAGGAGGGCTGGGGTTCTTCTGGGGTCACCCTCTGTTCTAATACTCAGATTCTAGGCCCAGTTCCCTAAACCACGTGCTTGGAATCACTTTCACAAGGGGCTCATTTTCAGGCCTTCATCCATTTGACACGCATTTTGCTGAACACCTACTCTGTGCCAGGCAAGAAGGGTAGATCAGCGAATAGGAAAACAAGGTACCAGCTCAAATAGACAAATAGAATATTCTACGCTCCAGGCTAGAGAGGACCAGGGAGAGAGACCTGTGCAGAGGTGTGAACGCCCAGGGGCAGAGGGCTTCCTAGCTGAGACCTCTGAGTTAGCCAGGAGGGGTGTGATCTAGGTTTTTGCTTTTTACTCTGGGGGAAAGAATATTACCATGTCCACAACACTTGGGAATAAGAGAAAATAAGGAGAGTGAAGGTGTGCCCAGAAGTTCACAGAAGGAACTGTGCTTATGGCCGTGGGTGGCGTGTCTGAAAAGAGACCAGAATGAACGGGGACCTTGTACAGACGTCCTGAGAGCAACAGGACATCCAAGACAAAACAAAACCCCCTTCTCAATGGGCAGAGTGCAGGGCACCAGACTGCAGCAAACTGGGCCAGAATGACGGTCACCAAGACAGTCTTCCAGCTTTGCTTAGCACACGGCTATCGCTATCTGATTTTTGCAGATACAGCCTTTTAATAAAAGTACTTCCTGACAGGATTAGTTTTCTTCCCCAAAGAGTGATTTAGCGTCCTATAAAAACTGAATTACGAAACAAATTACTTTTGAATTCAAACAATTCTCAAAAATAAATCTGGGAGGGCTTCTGGTCAAGGCAAATAAAGTTCAGGAGAAAGTAGCATCCCAAATTCATAAACAGTTCAGATGGGATGAGGAGGTTTGTCGTGGAAGCTTTTTCCTTTCTCTTGCTTTCCAGAAGTCATGCCCATTGAAAAGGAGTCACTCCTTGGGTTCCACCGAGCTCTGCTGACGGCCTGTGGCTCAGCCTCTCCCTTTGGCGTTGCTGCCTCACAGACAGGAAAGTCATGCCATTGACTTCTCCCTCAACTACATGTGAATCTGAACTTGGATTAAGCATTTTTCCCTTGTTGCTTCTGGGCTGAGGATAAGCCAGCATTATAGAAGTTATGCTTGTTTTTTTTTTTTTTTTTTTTTTTTTAAGAGCTAGGCTCTGGTTCTGTCACCCAGGCTGGTGGAGAGTGGTGCAATCATAGCTCTCTATAGCCTCCAATTCCTGGCTCCAAGTGATTCTCCTGCCTCAACCTCTCATATGCTAGGATTATATTGCCCTGCCCAAGTTTTATCTGTTTAGTTTGGTTCTTCAGGACATTGGCACCAAAGATGGTATTTTTTCTTTTTTTTGAGACAGGGAGTCTTACTATGTCACCCCAGGTAGAGTCCTGTGGTGTCACAGCTCACAGAAACCTCAAGCTCTTGGGCTTAAGCATTTCTCTTGCCTCATCTCCCAAACAGCTGAACTACAGGTGCCCAGCTATTTTTCTGTTATAGTTGTCATTGTTCAGCAGGCCCAGGCCAGGTTAGAACCTGCCAGCCCTGGGCATATGGGTGGAGCCCTAGCCACTGAGCTATAGGCACCGAGCTGGTATGTTTTTTTTTTTAAAACAGCTTTATTGAGGCCTGACTGACATATAAAAAAAGAGTAATACATATTTCATGTGTACATTATGATCAGTTTGGGGAAACCATCACATAGGTACTGTATTTAGAAAGATGGATGCAGGGCCTTCCTGGGAATGACCTCATTAGAGTTTCACAACCCTGTGTAGTAGAGAAGGCTGCAGTTATCCTTGTTTGTTCCAAAAATAAAGACCTCAATCTGCATGACGCTTATTAACAAAGTTGCACACTTTTCCCTATACAAATCAGCTGGTAGTAGTTCTTCCTTTGTGGGTGGCAACTGACCACTTTTTTGTGGCAGTCACCACAGAGTCTGCCCTTCCGGGTGCTTCTTTCTCCTGCTGTTTAGATAATGGTACCTGGCTTACAGGGCACTGCTATCAAGCTTCTTGTGATCACTATACATAACCAAGCCCAAGGCAGGTCCAAAGTCATGTTCACGACAAAGAGCCATATTGGTTCACAACAGTTTTAAAAGCTATGGTCATCAGTCAAAAGGAAATAGTAGGTCCAGAGAAGTGGCTCAGACCTGAAATCTCAGCTAATTAGTGAGGTCGAGGCAGAAGGAACACTTGAGACCAGGAATTCTAGAACAGTCTGGGCAACACAGCCAGATCCCATCTCTACAGAAAATAAAAACCAGGCAGGTGTGGTGTCATGTGCGTGGAGTCCCAGCTACTCAGGAGGCTGAGGCAGGAGGACCGCCTGAGCCCAGGAGTTGGAGGCTGCAGTGAGATATGACCATGCCACTGCACTCCAGCCTAGGTGACAGAATGAATCCCTGATTCAAGGAAAAAATACAAAAAAAGGTAGAAGCAAAATAACAGTAATATAACTAATATTCATGAGACTCCACTTGGGCACTTAGGGAGGACAGGGCATTCGGTGTTTCAGATTCTATGAGCTTCATCTCTAAGTTGATACCTAGGCCAGACAACTCAGCCACCTTTCCCACCCACAGTCATATGCAGAATTATCTTCGCAATTTCTAAAGATAAAAGGGGTCTTAAGAATACTACCTATCATACTACTGATACCACTTGTCTAAAAAGTATCATTAGCAAATTTCTTTCAGAGTTTAGATAGAAGAAAAAAATACACTTGGCTTTTATTACACATGGAAAATTATATAACTCATCGATAATTACCACCTTATCTGGCTGAGGTCTTGCTGTATACTATGACTTGTCAACAAGCTGCTGCAAAACCATTTTTATAGTAGTTGAGCTTGAAATAGTGTTTATTTGCCATCCGTCAAACCAGAAATTGTGGAGGGAACAAAACAGTAATCAATTTACTGTATCCTTGAGGCTAGGGAGGGATTAAAACAAACAATAATTACTAATTCTGACTCTGTAACCCTCTTATGTGTTTCTAATTATATTAAGGGGATAAAATTTCTCCCAAACAGCAAGAAAAAGAAAACCAAAACGAGTTTCTGAGAAGATTCCCATATCCAAAAACTTAACACAGAAAACCGCAAAGCCAATTTGCTTGCTGCTTTCCATTCAGGGGGAGAAAGCTGAAGAGAAACAAACGAGTATCATCCCCAAACTTAATCTGGAAAAGAATAACCTCTGCTTCATGATTCAGGAATCTATATAAAGGTGCACAAAATCAATCAGTCCATGTTGAACACAGCAGCATGGGGACAAAGGCGGTTGCTTCCTTGAAAGACAAATCCAGGCGGCTCTCATGCTCTTCCCCTAGATGAAGAGGAATCTCGTCTCGCTGCCCAACCACCTGCTCTTCCTGCCATGTGATTTCCTTCCCAGCCCTGTCCCAGAGGGTGGTTTATTGGTACCTGACTGCACAGAGTAGGAACACTCATGCCTGGCCACCGTGTTTACTCACATCAAGCTGGGTCGGTGCCACTGAGTGGTCCGGTTGTTGTGGTTGACGTAGTAAGTTCGGCCTAAATTGTCCACTTTTTCTTCCCAGCCGGGGGGCAGAGGAGGAGGAGGAAGCTCCTCTTGGTGCTGAGAAGCCGAGTCATTCGAGTCAACAACTTCCCACCCGTGCTGTGGGACAAAGTTCAACAGAAGGTTACGTTGTGGGTTCCGCAGGTGCCAAGGAGAGACAATGACAATGTGTACGGCGCGCCCTCCTTGTTCCACTGCACTCTGGCTCTTGTAACGGCTTGATGAGCCACATTTGAATCAATTCCCACAACTGGGTCAAAAAACTCTGGAAGCCAAGGCAGGTGGATTGCATGAGCTCAGGAGTTCAAGACCAGCCTGGGACAGAGTGAGAGCCGTCTCTAAAAATAGCTGGGTGTTGTGCTGGGCGCCTGTAGTCCCAGCTATTTGGGAGGCTGAGACAAGAGGATTGCTTGAGCCCAAGAGTTTGAGGTTGTTGTGAGCTGTGAAGTCAGGGCACTCTACTAAGGGCGACAAAGCAAGACTTTGCCTTAAAGAAAAAATCAGTTGTAGAGGGGGGTCTCAAAAGTCTCTTGAGCAGTGGACTTCATCACACTGCCTTATAAGATGACTGTTGTAGGGAGCAACAGAAATCTGGATACGTGCGGTTGGCTAAGTGACTTATATATTAAGTCCCATTACATTCTTTTCATTTATCAAGTTTGTTATTTTGATATGGAGGCCTCCAGGGCTGTAAAAGCTGTGCCAGTGACACAGACCACAATTACAGCTGTTACCTTTTTAGCACCTCCACGAGGTAAAGGGAGTGCGGAAGCTGAGCCGCACTGCACGTGTGTCCGAACACAATCACAGCCCAGGTGCAGGACCTCCACAGGAGCCCACAGTCTGGAAGCTGCTGCTTTCTACTCAGGCCTCCTCCCCAACAGGCTTCACGGTACCAGAGTTCAAGTTACACTTTTGAAATGCATATTTTAGGCATTAAGTATTCCTTTCCTAACATCCCCTGGTAAAATCACTGGAAAATTAAGTAATTCACTGGTTACTGCACTTGGAAGGCAAGAAGAGTGTAAAAAATTCCTTGGATTTGAGATAAAAATCTCTTGATGTGCTCATGAAATCTTACATTCATGACCGTGTGCCACCCACTTCACTCCCCTTCATGTGTATAGCGAGATGAAAGCTCACGAGTGAAATACTGCCTGGAAATATGATCCCTGGGTCAGAGGGGTTCAGACGGACTTGCCCACATTATTCACGTATCACATACACGAGACAGCTGCAAACAGATGTGAGCTCTGGGGAGGCCTCGCTTAATGGGCACTTTGAGAACAATACCGAGAATTTGTCTAACAACACAGTGCTGTCTGAGGCATGTGCTGAGAAGGTACCCAGAGACCCACGGCATGGCCTGGGATCACAAAGTTAACAGGCAATGATGTCAGGAGGGCGAAAGGGAAAATCCCTCTGGACAGCTCATCCAGAGGGCATTTCTAGGAGAGGGCTTTTCCACACAGTCACCTGTGGGCCAAATGACTAAGAAACTTGGAAAAGATTTTCTAGATCACCTCATCTACTTTGAGGCAATTTCAAGTGCTAAAAGGATTTATGGAGAGTTGAAGTCCAACGTAGTCGCAAAACTAAACACACGAGGGGCATTTCACAGCCCGCAGCTTCCGCTGGAACGGGGATTTTCCACTCACGTGCAGGGGCACACGGGTGTGCCTTGAGAGGATCTTAGGTGTGCCACGAAAAATTCTGGAGATCATTAAGTATTTTCAAAAGAAGTTCAAAACACAGTAAGCACATTCTTTTTTTTTTTTTTTAACTCTTTCTTCGATCAACATAATTTAAGTGCGCAGCAAAAGTTTAACTATAGGTTCAAGTGTGCTGTGAGATTAAAAAAAGGTTGAAAACCACTGCTCTAGAGGTTGGGTATGGCACTGAGAGAAATCTCTCCCATCAGTAGTGCAGTAGGATAAGAAGAAAAGCGCCTCTTTAAGTAAATGTCCTGGCAGACCGTCTAAAACAGATTCACGGACTGCATTTCCTCCGGACGCAGGCCCGGGGCGCCTCAGCTTACCTCCACATCATCCCTCTGCTCACCGCTTTCTTCATCTTGGCCTCCGTTTTTCGGCATATAGGCCATTTTCAGCCGCAGAAATCCCTTAACTCGAGATTTATGACTGCATAAAGGAAGAAAATAGGTTAAAAAGGATGACCCGGTTGCCCCTTTTATGTTTATGGTGCCTGCTGAACTTGGCCCCCTCCGGCCTCACCTTCTTGGTCTGAGAAGAAAGTCCTTAAAAGTGTAGGGTCGCTCCATGGTTGGGTCTTCTGTCTGTGGGGAAAAAAAATAAAAGTAAACCAAGTCCCAGTGCTCCTAACTTTGTATTCTAGATAGACTGAACTAGATCACAGAGAATACATTTTGTATTTTTGAACGTGTGAAAAAGGAGTTGGTTCCTCAACTGGCACTTAGACAATCCAATTATGTCACAGGCCAGGGAATTAATCTACTGGAGATCCACTAGGTGTCACCATCCACATCGGGTTCCGGGAGCCAACTCCAGCGGCAGACAAATGACAAAAGTATAGCTGTCATTGCCAAGGGTAATTTCTAATTGTGGGGTGTGGCCTGGATCTCACAGAGCTGATTAACTTGGGAGAGCCAGTGGTCGCTGGTGCCCTGCTACAGCCCTGTGCCTCCAGAAGCCTGAAAGTGGAGAACACAGGAGAATACACTAGATCTAAGCTTGGAAGGCAGCTTGATTTTTCACATTAAAACATCACATCCTCAGCCTGCGGTAACTGAAAGATTCTTTCCTGCACAGTGATGGTCCTGGGAAGCACTGCCACTTAGCCTTCTTCTAGGGCTTAGCTTGTGAATTAATGAGTGTGACCTGGATATTTTTTCATTCTAAAAGAAATCAGTATTTGTTTTATTGCATGAACGTAGCCCACCAATGCCAAGAAATTGGAAAAAGAAGTGCTAATACGTCATTTAAAAAAACTGTATGTAATAAAACGTTAAATGCCTAGACCCTTAAACATACTTTCAAATATTAACTTTTGCAGCAAGAGAGAAACTACAGTTGGATGATTTATTCGATCAGATCTGTGTATGTAGCCACTTGTATTTGCAACGTCATCTCTTTATGTTATTCCCTGCTTTAAACTCCCAGTGGCTTCCTGTTCTTATAATACAAAGAAAATTCTTTCCTATGATCTACAAGGTCAACTATGTTTGAGCTGTTAATGACCTTTAACCTCATTGTGATCTGGTCTAGTCCCTCCTTATATTCCAACTATCCTGCCCTCATCTGTCATGTATGAAAATCACACTGAATCCTGCCACAGTGCCCAGGCATGGGCAGGTCTTTCTGTTATACAGCTGATTCCACATGGCAGGCCTGATGTCTCCATTGTACCAGCCACAGGTGAGATCCTGGGTCACAATCTCAGGGTTCCCATCCTAAATTGCCTCCGTCAGCCACCCTTATCACCTTGCTTTATCTTCCCTGTATCATTCCCTTTAAATTACTTTCTTAGTTTATCACCCATCACTTTTGGAATGTAAGCCCGTGAAGTCAAACTCGATTTTGCTCACCATCATTATCACTAAGTGGTGAGCCAATTAATTCATTTGATTAATAGTAAACCAACAAGCCCCGGAAAATTCATTATCATTGAAGTCAGTCAATTATATTCTCTAGATTGTTTTCATAAGGCAGTAAACATACACAATTTGGAAATATTTCCAAATATACATCACTTATAATGGGAAATTTATCAATCAAGAAAACTACTGATGGTATTCCTCCTTTTTTTCATTTGTTTAACAATTTTAGACCAATACCAGTGGTAGACATGGGCAAAACACAGTCCCTGCCCATGTGGTTCTATGACATGGGAGGAACCAGATAATAATAATTCACTAGAAACTGTGGCAGACCAAATTCAGGGGCATACAGAGGTTATACTCTTTGAGATGTGGGGTAGAAGGAAGAGACTGATTCTGACAGGGGGGTCAAAATGGTTTCTAGATGTGTGGTCTAATCTAAGATGAATGGGGAGGTTTGGATAGGGGCAGCATGGAGAAGAAGGGCAGGTGAGGCTTAGGAAATCAGTACCATGAACCAAGCCTTAGGGACCGTCACTGGTGAGCCTGAGGAATCTAGAGACAGCTGAGAGCACAAAGGGGAGAAGGAGAAGACCACAGAATGTGGCGGACCTGAGGGTAGGTGTGCCCAGACACCATGCATGCAGATCACTGATCTTGGCAGGTCAAGAGGCAGATCTCTGGGCTCTGCGTCCTGTTTGGTTTTACAGAGCTGAGTGGCCACAGGAAAGCTACTTACTTCTCTCAGTGTCATCTGTCAAATGGGGCAGTTGTATCTTGCAGGGCTGTGAGGATTAAACCAATGGAGCTGGTCTATGTATTCAAGTCCTCTGAGAGCACCTGGCACACTCAGCAGACACTGGCCATCATCATCATCATCATCACCCAGATCTACATGTTCATGGCCCCTGTGAGCTATGCCAACTCAATACCAAGCAGTAAAAGGCAGAACTTCAACCTTTTAACTACGAACGATGCTTTCAGACGGTCAAATAGGATGTTCGTTTGGTGTGAACGATGCTTGTATGCACGTTTCATTTCTCAGGGCTCAGCAGTCAGAGGGTTAAAAATGAAAGTTCACTTTCATGGAAATTCTCTGGTCTGAACAAGAAGATGATCAGGGATAACTACAAGATTTTTCTTGGTACTCATTCAGGTTCCAACCTGACCATGCTTCCTGGAGACTCCTAGGATGGCACAGAGGGTGCTCCTGGTCGGAATCATCACAGACAGATAGAGGTAAGTAGTACTGTCGGCCAAATTGTCAAAGTGCTGCCCCCAGTTCAGGGTACACTCAAAAAAAAAAAAAAAAAAAAAGAAAATCTTTTGGCTACACCATGTCTTCATCCTAAAGAGACTATTGTTGGCAGAAATGCAGTCACCGTGATATGGAGTGAGATGAACAATTCTGCAGGCAAGGGGAAGGAGAGGGCCTCACTGGGTCTCCAGACTCAAAACCTAGAAGCAACACACAGAAGAACTCAAGCCTTAGGCTAAGCCACTCCTACCAGGCCCTGGACTGTCCTGTGGATAAACAGGGACACTGGAGACCCAGGGTCAGATCCAGTACTGCCACCAACACACTAACTGCTGAGCAAGTCACCCCCTTCTCTGGTCCAGGTTTCCTCACCTGGAAAACACTGGGAGTGAATAAATGTCTCTACATCCCTCTGAGCTCCATGAAACTAAATCCTGACATGTGAGAGGGAACCCTCACTCTGCCAGCAGCCAGAAACGCAAGAGGGGTGGAAGGACGTCAATCATCTAAGTACAGGTAAGGCAACAGCCAGTACCATCGCCTTGAAAAATGGGAGAAATCTGTGTTTTCAAGTAGCCATTCTCTGGTCAGCACCTTCCCCACGGATGCAGAATGATGCAGCTGGCGGGTGTGCTGGGGGCTCCAGGGCAGGGGAGATGCAATGAAGAAGCGAAGAGGGAGAGAAATTCAGAGGTAAAAAATGCCAACAATGCTGGGAATTTTATTCACACAAGGCTTGGAGTGATTTTTACCCTTTAATAATTAGTAGACATAAGTTACGAAATACTACATGAACCTTCAGACAACAAGCCACTGAATTTAACAAAAGAATATGATGAAAATGGTCATTGAAAAAAACCAGTAACAGAAAATAATGGAGCAGTTACAGTGAAGTTCTCTCCTGGTGGCCCAAGGCAAAAGAAAACATGGAAAGGCTTTTCAGCTGTGGGATGGGAGTCAATCTCCTGGTTCCTCCATGTGCCTCCGGTGCTTCTCACTGCCCAGATCCCCCAGGTGACATGTATGTCCTCAAGGTGGCTGGCCCCTCTGGTTAGCGAAGACCACAAAACTGTGAAGATGTTCTACCCCAGAGCTGGCTGGAAACCTGGCAATGAGTGTCTATGCAAACACTGGAGGCTCACAGAGGAACACTAACTCAATTAAGGTTGCCTAGGCAACTCGCCCATCTCCGGGGGTGTCAACAATCCCTGACAGGCAGATCCCCATTTTTTAAAGCCTGACCGCTGGAGACTTCCAGAGCCGGAGCCTGTGTCTTCTCAACTCTCTGGCCTATATAAAGGCTCAGCCTACAACCTCACTTACCCCACACACTCCCACCTCTCTTCTTGCACTCCCCTCAAAACTGGATAAAAATGAGAAAGAAACATTACGGACCAGGCGCAACCGCGGAATAGAAGCACAGGACAAACAAGCTCCTGCCATGCTAGGTTCCTTGTGTCATTTTTCTTACCTGTATTTTTACCCTGCAAATAAAACTCTGTTATTTTCTTTTATCTGGAAGCATGTGCGTGGTAGAAAGCTGCGAGGAATCAGGAAAGAGGTGACTTTCTCATTACGACTCCTTCCTCTTTCTGGCTTGGGACTAGCGACAGGGCTGACGCTGCCTCCTTTGGCCACGGCAATTCACTACTGTGGTAGGGACGGTCCACTATGCCTAGGCTACCGGACATCGACAATGCTCCCTGCCTGTCTCTGTAGGCCAAGGCACCTCCTCAGCTCACCTCCCAGGCAGGGCAGGGCTCTAGCCTGGACTCCCGTGTAAGGGCCACAGGCCCTGCAGGTGCCTAGCATCTGGCAGTGCGCCAGGTCTGCAATGCCAAAGGGACCCTAACATCGTGAGACTTCCCTAAGGGCCTGCTGGAGGGGACTGAGAGGTGGGGATGCTCTGACCCTGTCACTGCTGGGAGGCTTCTTTGGATCTGGAAACCTGTGGCCACGCAGCTGAGGAACCTAAGAGTCTGAAAGCAGGGCTGCTACAGACACCAGGTCCTTCCCTGAAGCCAGAATGATCACCAGGGGAAAGGAAGCCACAATCACATAATTCTGACCTGGGTGGGGGACTCTCTGCTCTGGTTCTCACATGTGCAGTCAAATGTGGTAGCCACTTGCCACATGTGACTTCTTACATTACGATCCTACTTAATTAAAATGAAATGAAATGATACACAGAGCTCCTCTGTTGTACCAACCACACTTCCAATGCCCGCCTGCTGCCCATGCTGACGTGCTGGGTGGCAATGAGGCAGGAACTGGCCCCACGTACCCAACCACAATTACAGTCCTACCTATCAACAAGTATTTGTTGAAAGAACAAATACTGTATTCGTTAACTATCAAATCAATCATCGAACACCACATCAGAATCCTTCAACCTTGAAAAGGCTGGGTGGGTTGGCAAGGGCCACTTTAGCACTGCAATATGGCTCCATGTCCTTATTCACTAATAATGAAATGGGGCATTTTCATCATTTTTCTATTTTCTTTATGTAAGATTTAATGATTTTGACAAACATCAAAAGAACAGGCCATACATCACCTGCCCTTATCATAGTCACGTAGCTATCAAGGACAGAGTGCCCTCGGGTCATTCCACAAAACGCACGGGAATGCTGACATCCACTCCACACACTCACACGGTGTGTGTCACACAGAACAGAACGGCTGTGCAACTGCCCCACAAGGGTCCTACACACGTGACCAGACACCCAAACAAGAGCATCTGAAATCCCACACTCAAAGGAGATGTCCAGTCCTAACATGCTACGTGGGCCCAGGCACTGCACAGAGGATAGAGGATGTATCTTCACTTTGCTCCTTTTCTTTTTTTTTTTTGTGGTCCATCCCCTGACTGCAGCTGACTCTAAATAGTTGATTTAAGTATGGAGACTATGGTACTTTGACAGAAGCCACTATCTGGCATTAGCGAAATGGGGAAGGTCTGCTGAACTCAGCTCACAGTAAAGTACTCAGTCCTCTCAAGGAATTCACCCTTTTTCATCTGCCTCTTCCGTTCTGGCCCTTACCCTCCGCACCATTTCCTTCTTTAAAAGCTCAATGACCCTATCTCCACCCTAAACCCAAAGCTAACTATTCCCTCTACTGACCTGGCCTCTCAAGAGGAACATTCTTCTATTGAGCCCTGCCCAATCTTTCAAAACCAATCTCCACTTCATCATTCAAATAAGCGCTTGTTGGAGCCAAGCCCTTGAAAATGTTCACCTTTGCCTCTTTGACAATATTAGCAAATAATTACTCTGACCAAGATGTGGTTTTTACATTAGGGAGAAGGGAGAGTGGGGCATCCAGGAAAGAAGTGGTCACCTGCCAACGCTGTCCAAAGCATGAGAAGAGCCAGTCTCAACGTGAAGAACAGAAGACAAACTGATGGAGACCCATGCACAGGGTCTTTCCCAGCCACCCCTGAAACGTGCAAACCTCTCCACGTGACCTGAAAGGAAGGACCCGGTTCCTGATAGCTGGAAGCCCCACGCAGGCACACACAAGCACCCTCCTGTGGCACCCTGGAGCTTCAGGTTTTTATATAGAAACAAAAATATCTTAGGATATCACTTTCACGTCTAATCTTTGGGAAAGGAATGCACTTGAGCCCTTTCTTCCTTAACAGCTCCCCTGAGTGAGCACAAGCAAAGTGCCTGCTATCACGTTTCTTTGAGGCACATCTTCAAAGCAATCCTGGTGAGAGTTAGTCTCCCTCGGTATTTAACATATGGCTACAGCCACAATTTCATCATAGCAGGAAGCAAACACTCAGTGGCTCATGTCATTTTAGTTTATAGACTTTTTATGTTACTTGCTCAAAAAATAACATAATGCCCTTGTAAGGCAGAAACATCTGACTTTTTTTCTCTTAGCTGTTACGTATGTCACTTTGTATTCCTAGGAGGAGGGGTGGAACAATCTGGAGAAGTGAAGGTGGGGTAGAGACGATGCACCTTCACCAAGGTCCCCAGGTCTTGGCCCCACATTCTACCTACACTGCCTCAGGTTGGCCAGTGACACCCCCAACTGTTCTTCAACTCATCTGAGCAGGGAGACAGCAGCAACAGCACCCGTGCTGACTCAGCACACTTTTGAAGCTAGGTGGGTATTTCCCACAGACAAGTTCACTCAGAATGGATGGCGTCTTTTTTCTCTATGCTGAGAAAGCCACACATCAAAATCAGGGAAGCACTAGCTTATACACGCACACAGATGTATCCAGAGAAACAGCACGTGCCATCCGAAGACAAAGGGAACACAGCCCTGGTTAGACCCAGAGGATGAGTTTGGAGAGAGACCCAGACATTAAGTGACACGGAGAGGCTTGAATAAAAGAGGTGGCTGTTTTGTAAGATGTGACGGGCAAAGAGGAGAAAAGGGAAGCTGGGGTTGTGGACAGGAAGGCCTAGAGATCCAGGCACACTTCACTGTCACCGCCATGCTATCCTCTATCCCTGTGAAAGGATCACTTTCCAGAAAGGAGACTGGCCCAGCATACATATGCTTCATTTCAGTCTTCTCCATTGTGCTCAAGAAATTACTCTGAAAATAAACCACCTCCCACAGCATGTAGCAGAACACATGTGATGCCCTTACCGGAAGATGACTAAGGGGCACGTCCACCTGGCCCAGGAAGTCGTCTCGGGTCTGTGAGGAAGAGAACAAAGAGTTAGTATTTCCATCTATCATCAAGTGTCAGCATTCCTTAAAAATGTGTCATTACAAAGAGAAACAAAGGTCCAGGGCTTGACACTGGCTACAGAGGGGAAGGTTAAAGGCAGAAAACTCAGAGGCAGCATGGATGATGGTCACCTAGGAGACCGCTGCACCTGGACCACAGCTATCAGAGAGGTGCTGGATGCACGTGGGCAGTCGGGGAGGAGATTTGCAGGGCCACAGAGGGCTTGAGGGCAGAGCTGGGCCCAGTTTAAGGAGAGGGTAGCAACAAAAATGAACATTTTAACAAGTAGTTAAGTGCTATAAAAGAGTTTCTTGAGAGCTGAGAGTCTACAAAGCCTAGTTATTACATCTTACTATAAACTGCACATCTTATACACATACACAAAACAACACACAAAACCTTTTTAAACCATTAAGGCTTCAGAATCTGTGTTGCCGGATGAGTTCCTGCTAATTTTTTGACACATCATGCCCCTCCTTCTCTCCATCTGTCTCATAGCACAGATCTGCTTGACTTAAAAGAGATCCAGGGGAAGTTCAATTTAGAGATGCTCATTAGTCCCCTTTCAGGCTCTGGGAATCACCGGGGAAGTCGTAATTCAGCTTCAGGTGGTCACTGGATTGGACCATAGGGTGTGACAATCCAGGTTCACACTATGTCCCCCCTGCTACACTGCTTGTGGTGTGGTCTCTGAACGCCTGAGATGCACACTGGACTCAATGTGCACACAGTGACTGTTGCCACCCTCATGTACATGGTGCTTCTCCCACACTCAAAATGCACCAAAGCTGGAAAGTGCTTTAGCTGTAAGCAGGCCTGTGTCACAGCTTACTTGAGGAAAAGGCCTGAGAGAGATCCAGAACTCCTCACTTCGAACCCTGGTCTCTTTGCTTCGCTGGTTTATGGAGAAATTTTATTTTTCTAACATACAGAAACTACTTTCCAAATGCACTTGGAAAACATTTTCTTCTTATATTGAAAAAGCAGCAGCAGGTAAATATGAATGAGATTTACTGAAATGGTTTGCTCCAGGCTTAGGAATTTCCTTTTAGATATTGAAAAAAATTGAACTGGAAATCCATCTGTCTCCTCTAAACAATGCATGAAGGATAATAAAAAATCAAAGTTACCACTGGTTGGGTTTGCATGAGAACGAGACTAGCCTCCATCCTCCTGATGACTTTTCCATTTCTTATATTTTCTTAGCTTCACTGGCTACGATCCAACATGGAGACACCTCGTCTCGCAGAAAGCTATAAGGGAAGTGCTAAGAAATCCTTTAAGTTTTACTGAGAGCAGCAGGAGGCCTCGAAAATGATGGAGCTGTGCTGTCCAGCCCACAGGCCTGCCCCAGAGTGCCAGTGACTCACACCAATGACAGTGACACAAAGAGGCAGGGAGCATGCCTGGTCCTTCTATAGCTGGCTGATTGTGCTATCATTTTAAAGTTAGTATAAATATCAGTTTACCATCAAAAAACTGGAAATTTAATGAATACTGACCATACACTGTATCTCTACCTAAGGTGGGCAGAGTGGATGGCACTTACTCCCTCCTCTCCTCTTCCTGGTAACTGTGAAGGAAAAGGACCCAGGATGCCATCATCCAGAGGATAAGACACTTTCACTCAAACCTCGGTTTCAGAACCAGATAGCTCTGAAAAGCTACTTAAGAATCATTAACTGAAATGCACCTTAGCAAGAATTTACACAATATCTATGTGCGATAAAATGAATTAAGTTTTGCTCAGACTTCAACAGCCAGGTGCCCAACACTATGGGCTGCAACAGCAAACCCTCACAGTGCTCGGCCTCCCCAGGCTCCAGGGCAAGGCTGCTTCCCTTGGAGGCAGGCACAGTGATTGCGTCCATTTTACAGATGGGAAACCTGAGCGCTGTGTGTGACTTGCTGGGTTCCAGACCCCAGCTCTTATGCAGCAATCCTGTGCACCCCATCTCATTATAGAAGGTTAAGGCAACATAAAATATTTCAGGTTAAGGTTTAATCATATCATTAAAAAACCGGCAGGAAAGCAGGGCTGTGTACCAGCTCTGGGCTTCCCCACCACATGCTGCCTCTAAATGGTAAGGATGAGAAGGGATTCTGATGAGGCTCCAGGGGCTTCTGCTAAGATGCTCACTTGGCATGTGACCTTCAGCACTCCCCCCTACTCCAACTGCTCCTCTCCTCAGAGGAAACCGTTTCCTGAATTCCCCAAGGTGCTGTGAAGCTAGGGAATGTCACTTGTATCTTATCTTATTTCCTCATTATATTAAGAAAACAACTTCTAAAACAGTAGAAGATGCGCAACCTTGCCATTAAAGCAAACAGGAGGCTCTCATTGGTTTACATCAAGGGAGATGGAAATACAACTATTTGTGGAGAAAAGGATTCTCTTACATTGCTGGTGGGATTACAAACTAATACAGCCTCTCTGGAAAGAAGGATGGAGAATCCCCAAAGAGCTAAAAGTAAACCTTCCATGTGATCCCTCAATCCCATTACTCAGTACCTACCCAAGAGAAAAAAAGAAATACAATTTACCACAAGGACATTCGCACTAGAAGGTTCACTGCACCTCAATTCACAATTGCCAAGATGGGGAATCAACCCAAGTGCCCATCAACTCGTGCATGGATTAATAAACTGTGGTATATGTATACTGTGGAATACTATTCAGCCATACAAAGATGGAGCCTTTACATCTTTGGTATTAACTTGGAAGGAGTTAAAGAACACTTTTCTTAGTAAAGTATCCCTAAGAAGAATGGAAAAGCAAGTATCCAGTGTATGCAATACTAATATGAAAGCACAGACAAAAACCTACATGTCCACATGAGGGAAAAACAGAATTACACTGGGGGGGGGAGGGGAGAGGGAAAGGGGAGGAGGGAGAGGGATTGGTAAGCTCTCACTTAATGGGCACAAAGTAAGGGTATACAGCACACCCTGAGTAAAGGGCTCAACCACAACTTGAACTACACCTAACAAATGCAGACAATGAAACCTAATCATTTGTAACCTCATATTAATCTGACATAAAACATTTTTTAAAAAGAAATAGAAAAGGACCCAAACAGACCAGAACATGGTCAAAACTGGCTTAAACCAATGTTTTGCCAGTCAGTGGAAGATATAGTTGGTTGTGAGATCTCGATTTTAAAACATCCCCTTGTTGGCAAAATTACAGAAGGTTAAGGTTAGGTTAAGGACGTCGTATCATTAAAAAAAAAGTCTTCAACACTGCAGAAGAGATCTAGGAAAAGAAGGAATGTCAAAGGGGCACCTCTGATGGTCCGAGGGGTCAGGAGGCGTGTGGGTGCAAGATCTTGCCGGGGACAATGTTTGGGGCCATTGCATCACCAACACATATGGCATCTCATACCCATGCTATAAAAAACACATTAATCAAATCAATTTGTAATGATTTCCTTTACAAACATATTTTCACCAAGCATCATGTTTTAATTTCAGCTCTCACTGTGAATAACTGGCATTTCTCAACATGGCCATTTTTAAGTAGTAAAATGTTGGCAATTGCAACCTCCACCGCACATTTTCAAAGGCTGAAACATTCACATTATAACACAATTATTATACATGTTCCTTTCTGATGAGCCATCAAATATCTCCCCAGTACAATGATGAAGTCAAAGAGAGCCCCTGAAACGCTGTCAGATCAGGTGAAATGAAAAATCTATATTCCATTATAAGAAAAGTTAAATATATACACAAATCACACACTGCCTTTAAGCTCTCTCACTGTTGATGTGATGGAATGCCCGCTCCCCTCTTTTAAATAAGAAGGGATGGGTCAAGTGTGCTCCATGTTCATGCAGGGGGATTTGTTGACACCATGAGTGGACACCCCAGGGATCTGATCATACAGCCTGTGGTTACCCCCAGGCCCTGTGTGCACATGGGTCAATACTACCTGCCCTGACATGGATGCCACAAATACAAATGACTCAATTTCTCAAAGAACACATCCATTCAAAAAACAACACAGACTCTTGGTCTTATAAGTTAGAACCTACCAAGGATGCAATCTGGATCTCACTGCACACTTGTGCCCATGCCATTCTGGTCCTTTTAGAACAAAAGTGGTGGTTACAGCAAGGCTGGGCATAGTGTGGACACTGCCTGGAGGCTCAGAGGGAGGCAGAGGGCTGTGCAAAGGGTGGGGGGAGCACCAGAAGCAGAAAAGAGTGCCCACAGGCCAGGTTGGGGCCCTCAAGTCTCCTTAGGAAAGGTATATAAAAAGGATTGCTAGGTGCGGCTGCTCACACCTACTACCAGTAGGTGTCCCAGCTACTCAGGAGGCTGAGACAGGAGGATCACTTAAGCCCAGGGATTTGAGGCTACAGTGAGTTATGACAACACCACTGTATTCCAGCCTGGGCAACACAGTGAGACCTTGTCTCTATCTAAAAGTATTAAAAAAGGATTAATGACTCTCACAAAGTAAAACAGTCTATACATAATCCTGGAGTTATATACCAAGGCAGTGTTTTCTTACGTTGTAAGCTGCAATACCGCAATGGGTACCAAGAAGCAATTTGTTAAAAAGTCTAACAGAAAAGAAAAATATTTGTGCCTCACACATAATACGAGTCCTGTTTGGGAAACTCATTTCAGTTACTCACAGACAGTACACATTAACATAAACGTGCATCCCAAATTGTGAGCTAACATGAATTGCTTTCTGTGTGCCACCATCAAAAGGATTTGAGAGTCATTCAACTGGAGAAAATAAAAACCATCCAGTATCACAAACTGCCTAGGGTTTCATCCTAGAAGTCATTAAGCAGTGATTTCTCAGAAAATTATGTTTACAATACTTAAGACAAATAGAACAGAACATAGAAAATTTAGAACATAAGCCAGAGAATAAGAGCAAAGACAGTGTATGATCAGATCTTTGTTACAAACCAAGGTAAACATCACAATTCCTTTCAACACTGAG